TCCTAAGGTGAACACAGTCCTTTCCTCGCATCAGTTTAATGAAAAAGAACTTCACATGGGACTTCTTTGTTGTGTTTTCTTCTTTCCAGCATTCAGCTTCTGACTAGCTATTGCTATTTGAAAGAATAATCTGTGATTTTTTTTTATTCTTTTTTTTTCTTTCTGTAAAACAAGAATAATTTGATACTTTGCCTTTTCTAGGTTACTCTTAGAAGTTCTTTTTTGCTTATTGCTACTCTGTACAGGTGCTGCGAAGGTATATTGTAATTGTGGTGGTAATTACCCTTTGTTAGAGTAACGTGTGCTATACCTCACAAAATAAAAATTTTACTGGTCTTATTTTGTTTAGTATATGAAACAAGATTAAGGGATAACCTGATCAGAGATGTGTGGAAATTCCAGGGGAAAAATTAGATAATGGGGAGGTTCTTAAATGAACAGGCACAGAGATAAAATTGTTCATTAGCTGAAAGGGGGATATGTATGAGTGTATGTATATATCTATATCCTTATATACCCATGTATGAAACATATTTAAATCACTGTGACAAATTTCCACCCCTAGAAATAAACTAGGATAGCATGCTTTTCAAAATTATGATATTATATAGTTTAAACAGGAATAAATTCTGGGAAGTGTGATGTTTTCCATAACACAGGATATTGACTCTTGCTGCAGTCCCTGAACTGTATTATCTGAGTCTGTTGTAGCTGGCAATATTTTTAGCAGACATTTTGTGCACCTATTCTACTGAGAGATTATTTCCAGTACAATACAGTGTGTTACAGTTCCACCACTATTTTAGCCCTCTCTAATTAGACGGCTTGTCTCAGTGTGCTGAGGCAGAATGGATTTAGGGGATTAAGTTTCATGTGTGTGGCCTGAAGGCTCTGAAGTACATGTAAACAGGAGTTGGGTGTGTTCGTGCTTTGGAAAGGAGGAGAGGGAAGGATGCAAAGGCAAAATGTTGTTTGAGTAGTTGCCACATCTAAAGAGATGCAGTTGAAAATAGGTAGAAAACACCTGATTGTATACAATTAAGAGAGTGGCCTGAAAAACAGGTGAGATAGGGCCATGTAGAAGGCAAAATGGATAAAGTCACGTTGGTCCTGAGGAAAAATCCCAGTGGCAGACTGCCAGGCTGGGAACTGGGTGAGAAGAGATGGCCAAAATGAACTCTTTCACATTTCTTAAGGCATGGGCGCTGCCTGCTTTGACTGACAGAAGTGGCCACATTAACACTTGAGAGTGGGAAAGTCTTGGCTGTAGCAGAATAAAAAAACCCCATTACTTTCCCAACTGATGGGTGGGGTAGAGGAGGAAGAAATGTTCCTGTAGCCCGTGCTGGAGCCAAATCTGACTTGCATGAGGACTATTACTTGCTGGACCATAGGGTCAGTGTGAATTGTGAGACTTCCAGAGCAGTCAGATTCAGGTAATCCGCTCACTGCTAATAAGTGGCCAGAAACCAGACTGAAGGTGAGGCATTTGTTGCTTACTCATTAAGGTCATCACATTAACTTGGTTGCTCTTTAAGGTCACATCAGCTTGGAGCTAAATTTATCAAGAGACCTATATAGATTTCAGAGCATGAAGTATCCCTTGCACAGTCCTCAGTTTGGGGGATAAAGATGCCTTGTCTGCGCATCCTGTTAGGGGAAGATGTCTTTCAAATGTGACACAGCCAGGATCTCTCTCTGGTTGGTACCTCCTGACTCTGTGGCAGAGTGGGACATTTTTAAGAGCAGTTACAGAATGACAAGGGAGCTGGTCTTTGGGGTGAAGTCTTCCTTCATTTTCCCTTTGTGCTGCGTGGTGCTGGTGTTAACGCTACTTCTTCTCTTAGCACTGCCTTCAAATTTAGTGGGAAGTCAGGGAGGAAGGACACCATCATCCCTTCTGGGCCTCTAGGTGTTGTCCTACAACCTGGGGGAAGTGATTGAGCTGTTAACAAGCTGGTAGCAGTGACACAGATTTCTGTCAGCTCAGCTGGTCTCTGGACTGGTGTTTTGCTGTGACCTGGTTACAGTCACGTGTAACGCTCTTGCAGGTCCCTGTTGTGCTGGGGTTCACAGCAGCAGAGTGCTCGGAGGTGCTGCCCAGCTGCAAGGCAAGGTGCTAGCTGGGACGGTTCTCGTGGGAAGGCTCTGCAGGCTGACATCGAAACTGCTCACTTTATAGTCCTGTCATTACTGTAATAAATATCATGCAAATCCTTGGCATTTTAGGCATGCTGTTCCTCTTCATGGTCACTCTGAGCCTTTATTTAGTAGTAGAAAGGAGAAAGTTATTTGGCACCTGCCGTAATTGTCAGTTCCTCAGTGCAGAAAAGTATTTTGGAACTCTTTGTTTAAAAAAAAGAATGAAAAGATATGAAAACTTTGGGTTTTTTTTAAAGTTGTCAACCTTCATTATGCAAGTTAGTACTAAGAGCCTTTCAGAATTGGGAGAAAGTTGGGTTTTTGGGATGTGCAAATGATTGCTTGATTTTTAAAATGGCTTTCCCATCTTGATTTTTGGAAAAGGTCATTCTAGGCTTTCTTATGCTAGGAAACAATGCAAGAAGTACCTCTGGAGGCCTTTAGAAGCCCTCCGAGTTTGTGCTTGTAAGAACAATTGTTTTCTTTTGTGTTGTTTGCACAGGATTAGTGAAAGGGTAAGAGTGCTTAGTCTGAAAAAGAAGCTTGCCCTCTGACTTCACTCCATTAAAATAAGGCAGTAGAATAACCTATGAAGTTGGCATTTTATGGATTCTAATTTTTATTGACAGCGTGCTTCAATGTTTTATTTGCTCAACTTTCCAATTGTGTAGAATACTTTCAGGAAAGACATATAATTAATTTATTTTTGAAGACTTTACCTAGAAATAAAAGCTGTTTTATTACGAAATGTTCATTAATTTTGAAAAAGTAACTATTACGAGCTTCTGTACATCTTTGTCAGTTTTTCTGTTCAGTGGACATAGATGCTAGTGAAGGATTTATTTGGCATTCTTTTTTAAAGGAAAAAAACCACCAACTATGATGATACTGGAGAGAAAATTTCTGACCTATATTGCACACTTTATGTTCTTAAATGCAAATACAACTTGTAGAATATTTATGCCTATTTTACACATCATATAATTTTGCCTTTAATGACATTTTTCAAAAGTTTGCTTAATTTCCACTCTACACTGGAGGGTATGCCGACAAGGGAGGTATGGTATGATCCTTAGTGAAACTTTCCATAAAGGAATTAATGTGCAGGAAAACTTACAAATGAATTATGGTTATTCTTTAGTGTTACACAGTGGGATATAATGCAACCTTTAAAATGAAAGTTTTGAAAAACACTTCTGACAGCAATGAACATCTGAAATTTGTCGTCTGCAGAAGAAGGATATCATGCTCTATGTGATTTTTTTTTTCTTTTTTTTTTCTTTTAAGGGTGTTTGTAACCTGAACTAAAGTATATGTGCTGGTGTAATTTCTATTAGTCTGCAGCAGTCCTCTCAGGGTTGTTGGAGACTAGCACACTCTGCCTCAGCAGCCGTTGGCACGGTCGCGGTACATCAGTAGGTAGTTTTGGGCCCTTATGTTTCCATTAGTTTTTGGAACAAGCTCTGTGTGTTTGGAGTCAATCGTTTTGGCTTAGTTTCCTCTGAAAGGGCTATAATTTGTGCACACTCACACTGTTCTGTGATCCAAACCCACCTGCAGTAAGTGAAGAGATTGAGGGAATTTGCTTCGAGACAGCACAGGTACCCCAAACAAAACACTGATGGGGATGTGGCCATTAAAAGAATGGAATGTGAAGTTAATATGTGCCTTTAAATTATACTCTGTGTATACAGATCTTCAATTTTGACACTGTAATTGAAAGTAGCCACAGTGAGGTAAATATAGGTACTTGAAGCTTAACATAAATGGAGAATCTATATTAAATATCCCATGCTTTTTTGTACCTAGCTGTACTGCTGACGTTTTATCACCCTTGTATATAGCCTTATTTGTCCCATATTTCTTAAATTGCACATGTGTGGTATTTTTTTTTTGTTTTTAATTTGGTGTTGTTGCTCTGAGAACTTGGAAACACTTTTAAAAAAAAAACAACCAAAACCACCTAGTAATTTTGTAAACAAATTATTAGTTAATTACAGCTAGAATTATATGTTGGCCAGAGTTTTTCTTCCTGATTGTGATTCAGCTGGTGTTAATGGTTAACTAACGTCCACAATATTCTTTAGTCACAGAGCTAGTACAAAAATTCAGTTTGGAGAAGACTGCAAGAGTATTAAGAATGCAGAGGCGTTAATAAAATGATAGAATACAAGAAGCTGAGATGGCTGTGTTCTAGGAAGTAGTTTGTCGGAAACCGAACAAGCAGAAAAAGAAGCTGAAATTCATTTCAGTGGGGAAATAATGAGGCGTGAGACACTCTTACCTTTAGAACTTGTTAGATACTGTTCTTTTTCTTTCCTCTGAAGGTAAACCATTTTACAGAAGGGTTCTTTTCCTGTCAAAGGAAAAGAAGAAATGTGAGCCTCCTTGCTCTCATAGGAAGAAGGCTTTTGTTTAAGATGATATACAGGCTTTGGGGATCCTTGCTCCCAAATTACGGCATAAGCTAACCTGCATTTTTTTTCTGTATTTCTCTTGCTATTTAGAAAAATAATAATCCATTTTTACACTGAAGGCATCTGAAAGGGATCATGCAAGTTGGTCTTTGGTAATGTGTGGTTTACATACAGAAACATTTAGATTTCCAGACAGGTCATCAGCTTAAAGTTGGTAGGTGAACCTTCAGGGAAAATAACATAATTTGCATGAGCAGTTGTATGAGTGGCGTTCAGCTGCAGTCAGTGCTGTGGCTCAGACAGCTGGAAGCTCCCTGGCTTGATGAAAAAACTCATTTTCAAGTCAGTAAGGAATTCTTTTCAGATCTCTTATGTTATTTGTATGCTTCTGTTTCCAATGTTGAGAATTTCTAATAGATCTTTTTGCCTCCTTCAAAACAGAATTAGACCACAGCTAGCCAAAGAGAAGATTGAAGGATGCCATATCTGTACATCCGTCACACCTGGTGAACCTCAAGTGTTCTTGGGAAAAGACAAGGCCTTCACTTTTGATTATGTCTTTAACATCGACTCGCAGCAAGAAGAGATCTATATACAGTGTATAGAAAAACTGATCGAAGGTTGCTTTGAAGGTTATAATGCCACTGTCTTTGCTTACGGCCAAGTAAGCTTTACAATTTTATTTACAAGTACTTATTTTGGAAAAAACAGTTTGTTGTAACTCTTTAATCTCAGACTGCATGGACCTATCCTTTAGCATCCTGGTTTTATTTTAAATGTGGTATCCCGTAGGAGGCTGTTTAGGAGTTTGTATAGATTCTGTGCAGATTGGCAGTTGAAACACAGATTGTGTACGGGCAGTAGGTGTGAATTAGTAGTAATGTTGAAAGTGGTGTGAATCCACCTAATTCCTGAATTCACCCCAATACAGCAACACAAAGTAGTGATTTAGGGAATACAAATCAGTTGATGTATAGAGATAATTGCTCAGAGAAGAATTTCAGTGCAACCTATCTGTCCCTCTGCATTTTCAGACATTTTTGGAAAGAGAAGCATTTTAAATATAGATCCTAGGGAACTTTAGGCCACATTGTTTGTTTGTGGGCAAAATGTAGACATCAGATTCCAGAGACAAAAGAACTTTTCACAGAGAACACGCCCTCTCAGTGCACTGGGCACATGTTTTACTTCTCAAAACTGAAATACTGTTGAGCATAATGTAGAGAATGTGTTATTGTCTTCTGAATATTCCCTTAGGAATTGCCTAAAATTGGGTCTTGGATGCTGAATTATGTTAAATGTCATATCTCAAGTTAGCTAGGTGAAGTCTAGTCCTAGTGAAACAAAGCAGTTTGCAAGTCCAGTTTAGTACATTATGTTCAGCTGTGTGATGCTATCTTTGTCTTAGACTTGACTCACTAATCAGGGAAAACACAATGCTACCTTGTCTTCTGTAGGACTTCATATTTAATTAAGTTATTTTCCTAGTGAAAATTCAGCTTGTATTCTTTGGTGCCACCTCTAAATTGAGAACAATGGTAATATTCTACTTGAGAGATTCAGACCCCGTAATTAAGGGAATCATTTGATCTGCTTCACCAAAGAATTGCAAATGTTGCTTTTGCCTCCAAAATGTATGCTGTAATTAACAGTTGAAAACATTAACTATTCTTGTGACCTCAGAGATGATAGCTCAAGGCTGATGTAAGCAATTTAGGAAGTTTGTAGGGGAAAGGTTATGAAGCATTTGAACTGATCCCTGCCTGCTTGTATTTGATCTGTGGAGAAACAGCAGAGTTTGTCCAAGTACTGCTGTTGATCTGTTTTTCAAAAATTACCTATTGTTGTTATGTTTGTGTTACAAACATAACAGACTGACTTAGTAGCACCAGACTGAGTCACCTAGCACTGGTATTCACAAACTGCACTTCTGATTTGCTACTTCCAACATGTTCTAGTGACTATTCTGTTTTTAATTTAGACAGGTGCTGGCAAAACATACACCATGGGCACTGGATTTGATGTCAACATAACAGAAGAGGAACAAGGCATTATATCTCGTGCTGTTAAGCATCTTTTCAGATGTATTGAAGAAAAAAAACAAGCTGCTATCAAACAAGGACTTCCACCTCCAGATTTTAAAGTGAATGCACAGTTCTTAGAGGTAATTATGGTCTGTGTTTGTGTCTATAACTTCATGTGTTTTTTGGGGAAGCAAATTAAACAATTTTTTTTTTTGATTGCTACATTTTCATTCCTTTCCCACAAGATGTTTTGAATTAATCTTCAAGATTTCCAAAGGAAATTTTTAGGGAGTTTGCTTCAGCTCTTCAATTTATGAAAAAGAGCCTTTTTATCTTATTTTAGTTACTTTAGTAGTTTCCTTTACAGACTTATTCTGAAGTGTAGAAACAGTTGTATTAGTCATCATTTATCACTTTCTGCAGCACGTGTTTTTTTGTGGGGCTGGTTGCTCTTGCCTGTTTCTAATTCTTTACAAAACCTTGAAGCAAGAAGCTGTTAAAAAAAATAATCAGTTGCACTATGTGCCTTTGTACAGTGACCATGCTTCACCTGATTTTTTGACTTTGCCAATGATTTCGTATAGTTTCCAAAATTTATTTAGGAGACTTCTTAATAAATCCTTTTGTCAAAGAAGAAACTCAACATGAAAATACTTCTTTCTGTCATCCCCAGTGGTTTAGGATTTGGCATCTGTGTCACTGTTCCTGCTTTCATTAGACCCAGAGAAAACATGGGTCAGTGTTGTGGAAAAACTGTTCCCTTTGTGTTTCCTTGTAGACACAGCTACTGGTAAAAGAGGCCGTAACATCTGTGATCTTGCGGATCCGTGGCAGCTGTTGTCTTAAGTCTTGTAGCTTTGATTCTGTCTCTCCTGCCCATTGAACTTTTCTTCTAAATTGATTGCTTTGAGTGTTACATATTTACATTCACTACCAAGCTGCAGAATCTGATGCTTTAAGCACACAGAGAAGAAGAAGCAATATAAGGAAGAGCAGGTGTAAATGCGTATTACTTAGTTCAGTATTTGCAATTCTACTTCCAGGGAGGGAGGGAGAAAACTCCTGCTTTTATATTACCCAAGAGAAATCTATTGCTCTTATTTCTGCTGAAGCAAACTAAGCCCTTTAGTCATGTGCTCCTACCATTGTTTTAAAGATTAACAAGCTGGCATTCGTTTTGCACTAGTGTAGGTTTGTCACTGCTAACCTGAAGCAGAACTTTTTGTCGCTCTGGCTAATGTTTGCCTGGAGAGAGTCTAGGTTTGAGCACAGGCTGTGGAAATGACAACTTCTATTCTCTCTGTTTGAACACTGGGGAGCTGCAACTTTGGTGCTGCTTAGGCGGCTGCAACAGTAGGAGCATAAGGAGTAGTAACCAGTGTAGTTTCTTAATTCCTTGTGTTTTTTTAACACAGCACTGCAGATGTGACTGCAGGAGTCCCAAAATACAGAGCAGTGACCAAATGTCATGGTGGTAGTGGTGTATGGAATTGCAGCCATTACAGCATATTTCAGATTAAATGTACATACCAAACCCTGTCTCGTTTATCTTATTTAGGAAGAGGTTAAATAACATATGTAATAGCTTCTCCCTTAGCAAAATGTCACTGTTTTGGTAGATTTTATTTTTTTATTATTGTACTGAGGCTAAAGTGGAGCTTTTCCAGAAAAAGCTTTCTCTGATTAGTTACCTGTTATAGACTACTCTTGCGTCAGAAAGTATCCTCTTCCTCCCACCCTATCTAGCATTAGAGCTAGATTACATAAACAATAATTTAGTCATTGAACAAGTTGAAGCAAGGCTTTATTTTGGAATAACTTTGAAGTCTGGCTGCTGGATAACTATTTGCAACAGTGACTTCTGTTTGCTACTGTCTTGCTTTTCTTCAGTTTGCTGCTCTCTGCCTCTCTTAACTCCGTGCCTTCCTGCTTACTTTTCCAAAAGACTGGCATGTGCAGTTCCATGCAATTCTAGATGCATTACCAAGATCGTTTCTTAAATTGTGGCATCAGGTTGTTTGAACTTAGCATGGTAAAAATTAGCAAGAAGGCTCCTACTTAGAATATTTATGCCTAATAATTAAATAGAATTCCCTTTTAATGTGTAGAGTTAAAAGCATAGCATTCACAGATAACGAGCCTTTACTTCTCAGGGATGGATCTTCACTTGTAAGAGAAAGCCTCTTGCTTTCAGTGTATGAGAAGGTGCCTCGGGTGAATACAGATCTGTAGTGATGGTTCTTTGACTTTTACCCAGGGACTTTGAGCAGGGATTTAGTCAGTCTGGCCTAAGAATTGAATTAGTATAACCAAATTCAAGATTCTGGAAATGGTTCAGTGTAGATCAGCGGAGATCTCAGCCCTCAGATTCCTAGTGGGACGCTACTTTTTCTGATTTGTTTGTGTTTTTGTTTGATTGGGTGGGTTTTTTTTTTGCTTGGTTGAGTTTTTTGTTTTTGTTGTTGTTGTTTTATATTTGCCCTGATGTCTTCAATTGGATTTAAACATCGTTCTGAAAACTCAGATTATCATGAGTGTTCTATCTCCTCTAACACAGATAACTGCATAGTAATTTCTGAGGTCCTTTCTGATGCAATGTACTGAGCTAAAAGGCTGATGGGCCTAATGACCCTGAGTTGAAAGACACTAAACATACATGTACTTACCTTCAGAGGTCCCAGTGAGACAAGAAGTAAACATTAAATAGCCTGAAACATGTCATAGACAGTTGTTATTGCTGATGTTATTGTGCCTGCAAGTTGTAACTAACTCTGGGGCACCCAAGTGTCAGTATCATGGTGTAAGATACAAAAGCCCTGCTCCAGAAACCATGCTGTAGTTTTTTTTTGCCTGCTGTTTGATACCTTTAATAAGCAGCTGGCACAAAAACTATTATGTGTTAAGTTTCTTTGAGGGCAGGAGCAGTTTCACCTAAATGAATGACGAGACGGAGAATTATTAAGGTGTGAGAGAGGGGATGAGGAAAGGCGTGATGGCAGGGAAAGGGAGTCGACTGAGTTCATTTGGAGGAGGGTGCAGCCAACTGAATCAACAAACAAAAGCAAAGCCTAAGGTCAGACCTGAAGACAGCGGGTGCCTGCCACCGAAACCACTGCCGCCGTTGTTCAGCTCGAGTACCTCCCTTCTCTGGTCCCACCACAGAGGTTTCTCGTCTCCCAGATCTGAGGATGTGGAGTAAATTGCTGCTTCTTTGGGTTGCGTAACAGTAAGGTGTGCAGGTCACTCAATCTGCAGCTGCTCTGTCTGTCATCCTGTTGCCCTTCTAAATGTAGATGTTTCACAGCATCCTTTTTTGAGAGCCTTGTCGTTTGGATTTATAGAACTTTCTATATGTACCATACACAGATTTGTTAGTCTTTGGAGGATTTCCTTCCTAAAGTAATATATGTATTTTCCTTTTCTTTTTTTTTTCCTCCTCAGCTTTACAATGAAGAAATTCTTGATCTGTTTGATACCACACGTGATATCGATGCAAAGAATAAAAAATCAAATATTAAAATACACGAAAAAAAAGAATTTATACAGTGGGTGTTACAACCCGACCTGTGAATGGAGAATCAGAGGTGATAATTGAAGATAAATTACTTTGTAGCATACAAAGCCTATTCTAAAAGTGTTGTCTGTGTGTTTTGATAAGCAGTTAAAAATAGAGGTTATGCTTGCTACCATCTGTGTCTAGGATCATTTGTGTGTAAAATTCAGCCAAATTTTTTAATTTTCTATAGTTTCTGTAGCCTTTAGTCTGATAAGTATTTGATATAAAGTGAGTATCACTTTCTTTTAATGCTGTAAACAGACTTTTGCTAGTAATACAGTTCTACTGGAAGAGAGAACTTTGGCATATGTGTAAATATGATCTCCCAATTCTCACATGTGGTATTTTTCCTGGGACAGAAAAGCTTTGTATGATGACTGGTGTGAGGTAGACTACTGTTCATGTGCATTATGAATCTAAATACAAATATTATTGTACTGTACAATTTGTACAAAAAGTACAAAAAATGTACATTTTTGCTACAGGTGAATGGAAGAAGGATTGATATGTCACTTTCAGGGGAGAGCAGAAAGAGGGGTACAAAGATTTAAGTGTGGTGGTGGTTTTTTTTGTTTTCAGAAACCACAAAAAGTACTCCTAGTCTGCTTATCTGGAGAATGTGCTTTTTGACATATCAGTAGTGAAGAGAAAAAGCTTATTTATATCTGAACCAGCAAGCGTTTTAGGAACTTTTGTTTTTATTTTATTTTATCTGTAAGCAATGCCATGTGGGTTTTTTGTCTGTTTTCTAGATGATGCAGTGCTTGAAGCTGGGGGCTTTGTCTCGAACCACTGCCAGTACGCAGATGAATGTTCAGAGCTCGCGGTCACACGCAATCTTTACCATACACTTGTGTCAAACCAGAGTCTGTCCTGCATTTAACACCGTATGTATCTTTGCTGCTATTAAACTTTTTGCTTTAGTAACCATTTTTCAAAATGAGAGTGTTGTTTTGGCAGTCGCTGCTATTTGAATTGCGCTTAGTAAAGATGCTACACTCATCATCATGCTCAATGAATTTGCTAAGCATTAGAATAATTTGATTTAATCTGTGCATCTGTAACTATCCTCTAGCCAGAGGCAACCATAAACTGCAGCCTTCTACATGAACCTGCCTGTTCTCCTCTAGCATTTTCTTCAGTATTTTGTTGCAACATAGACAAGTAAGAAAGTTAAAATGTAATTTGTCTTTAATTGGGAAAGCATTTTAAGTGTCTTAATAGTTAATGGGTTTAAGTTTGCAGTCAGCTAACTGAAAATGCTGGGATAGTCCAGATTAAGTGTTAATATTCAACAAGGTGTAAGTAGAAAAAACATTTGATTCTGAGGCTTAGTGTATTTATTTTACAGAGATGTATGTTTTGGGTTCAGATGTGTTGTTAAGTCCAGGCTCTTAACCTATGAATGTAAATGGAGCTGTTCCATGTGGGACTGTTCACTTGTTAGTTGCTGTTGGTTTATCTTGTGAAGAGCAGAGTTCTGAAAAAATTCATGTTGATGAAAACTATAGTAGCTTTAGAGGGACTTAATTTGATTATTCAAGAAGTATCAACTTTTAAAAATATCTTCATTAAATCCTAAAGTTCTGGCTAGATACCATGTTTTTAAGCACGGAAGACTGGATTGAGTGGAAGAATGAGTTGGATTTGTAGTGTTGTGGGGTTTGGGGGGGGCTGCTTTTTTTTTTTTTTAACAGTACAAATAATTATTAGCAGGCAAAATGAGGGTTGCTCACTGTTCGTTTTTGGTACCTAGACCTGCTTTATACAGCTATTAACACTTCTTCCTGCCTTTTCTACTCTGAAACTGTGGATCTGGTGGCGTGGGCAGCTGTTGTACCTTCTCGCTTGGAGGGACTGGCATCACATGCAGAGTTCAGACAGGGCACTTCAATCACTGCGTGGGGATGCTCTCTGCTCAGCGGTTTTGTTCAAAACTCTGTGTGTAGCTCAGGAGCCAGAGAACTAGTCTGAGACCCTCATTTCCCACAGACTGTCAGCTCAGCAATCTGCCAGCGCCCGTGTGCTTGCAACCTTCCCCACTGGCCGAGCCACACGCTGG